ACCGGTTTATCATCAAATATAAAAACAGCCTGAGAAACTCTGCTCTCATTTACACTCAAGAAAAATTCTGAGCTGCAAATCACTGAACCAAATGAAATAAAACATGTCACATATAAACTAAAACTATACAGTAGTTGTGTTTGTGTTTGTGTGTTTGTGTTCCATTGACAGTGTGTTTTTATATTTTACTCATTAGCAGAAAAAATTACATGAGATTTTTTAATCAGCTGTGAGTTTAACGAACGAACGAGAAAAAAGAAAAGAGAGAGACAGAAGAGAGAGAGAAAGAAGAGAGAGAGAAGAGAGAAAGAGAAGAGAAAGGAAAGATGAGAGCAGAGGAGAGAAAGAGGGAAGAAAGAGAAAGGGAGAGAAAAAGAGAAATAGAGAGAAAGAAGAGAAAGAAGAGAAGAGGGAGAAAGGAGAAGAGAGAAAGAAAGAAAAAGAGGAGAGAAGAGAGCGAGGAGAGAAAGAAAGAAAAAGAAAGGGAGAGAGAGAGAAGAGGAGAGAAGAAGAGAGAGAAAGAAAGAGAAATAGAGAGAAAGAGAAAAAGAATAGAGAAAGAAAGAAAGAGAAAGAAAGAAATAGAAAGAAAAAGAAGAGAGGGAGAGAGAGAAAGAGCAGCTGATGAGAAAACAAATCCTTTACTTGTAAAATTGACTGACCTTTATGAATCAGTGAACGTAAACATCCACGAAAGAGAGAAAGACGACAGAAATCCAATAAAAGGTGTAAAGAAAAAACGTCAAACTTGGCTACAGCAGGAGTTGAAGCAAAGATCTAAAAAGTGTTTGTCTTTTGTCTGTGTGTGCGTGCGTCTGTGCGTTCGTCTGTGTGCGTCTGCGTGTCTCTGTGTGCGTCTGCGTGCGTCTGCGTGCGTCTGCTGTGTGCCTCTCTGCGTGCGTCTGTGTGCGTCTGTGTGCGTGCGTCTGCGTGCGTCTGCGTGCGTCTGCGTGCGTCTGCGTGCGTGCGTCTGCGCGTGCGTCTGCGCGTGCGTCTGCGTGCGTCTGCGTCTGCGTGCGTCTGCGTGCGTGCGTGTCTGCGTGCGTCTGCGTGCGTCTGCGTGTCTCACTTGTCCTCGGGGTGGGTGCAGGGGTGGATGATTCCGTTCATGTCCAGGTACAGATTATCAAACTCCACCTCGTTGGGGTTCGGTCGGGTCGTGTCCACGGGGATCCGCACGCCGTTGAACTCCTTCCCCTGGGAACAGTCATCATCATCATCATCACACGATTAAAAACTGCACACGCTTTTACTGAAATGTTCTACAATACAACCCACATCACCAGGATAAGTTACAGGTCAGATCTGTGGAGAAGTGGACTCTCTCACAGTAAGAATACAGATTTTTGAGGTTGTTTTGAGACATAAAAAACAGTCACTTCTTGGGTTCGTTTTAAAGATAATAAAGCAGGACGTGTGTTTACCAAGAACCCAAGAAGTGACTGTTTTTTATGTCTCAAAACAACCTCAAAAACCCAAACCCTTTAAAACCCAAGAAATGAATGTACACAAGACGACAAAATGAACATTTTTGAGATTAAAAACAACTAACTGCACAAATACAAGATATATTTGTTTAATGCCGCACTGCGGAAAATCCCAAGCAAAGTAATGACATCACCATGGAGACAAGCAGATGGCGGCAGTTGACAAATTTTATTCCTTCTTCGCCGTTTACAAACTTTTATTAGCAGACTTATTAACAGGAGTGATGATGAACATGAACTATCTCAGGCTCAGGCAGTTCCAAGTTTTTAGAGACACTTTCTCTACAGCAGGAGTATTATATATGAATTATGCATTATTATTATTGCTGAATAATAACATTTTGGTTAATTAAATGGCTGTTACCACTGTAAATGTATAATTCTGATGCCCAACTCTATGCAGTAATAAATAGTTTATATTTTATAGCATCTAACTGTGCATATCTAAAGCCCTGGCTCATATTTTACTCAAATTCTTGCGACCACTAAAATGAGTAACTCTCTGGTGTTTTTGTTTTTTTTTAAAAGGAGTTCACTGAGGAGAAAGGCTGGACACTCCTGATCAACATAAACAGAACAGAACACAACACAAACACCAAAAGACGAGTCTCACTGTTGCATTGTACTTTATTCTGATGTGGTTTGTGTTTGTGCGATTCAGAAGCAAACAAAATAAACACTAAACTTCCTCCAGCGTTAATATTTCCTCCAACTGTTGCTATGGAAACATTTACACAGATTTATCCTCCACAAACTCAACAGAACCGAGACCAGAGTCTGACTTTAACATCGCGTTTCCTTCACACGTTCATCAAGTTATTATGACCGTACAAACTTAATTTAACAGTTAGAAGAGTTTGAAGGTTAAATATAAATGTGTAAATGTGTGTGTGAGCCGGAAAGTTTATAAAAGCCCCGCTTAAAGCCGCGTTAGAGCTCAAAGAAACACGTCAAACACTCAAATGTGCCGCGGTCCGAGCTGAGCTAACGAGGCTAACGAGGCTAACGAGGCTAACAATGCTAACGAGGCTAACGGAACTTTTTTATTTTTTTTTTTTATTAATACTTCACAGATACAAACGAAAAGGCACCATACAAAATTCACATCCAAACCGAGTAAGAAAAAAACAAAAAAAAAAAAAACAAATTGCAGTTGTGAAGAAAAATGTAAACAAGAAAAACAAGAAAACATCACGAACGAACCGCGGGGGCAAATTCTAAAGCTGGAATCAAAAGAACAAACTGACATCATTTAAAAAAATACAAGAAACTCAGCTTCTTTTTTCAATCAGGTTCAATGAATCAACAAAAATTCTTAGGTCATTACTAAAGTATTTTATATTTGGTTTTACCTTAAAACATCGACATTTGTGAATACAAAATTTTCCTAAGAGTAATTAATTATTAATTCCAAATTCCTTCCTTTTATCTTCTCTAAATGCACCAAATTTAATTTCTTTTATTGTTAGGGGGCAAATTTAACTCCAAAGGACTGAAGCAATGAATGAAAATCAAAACGGAACCCGAACGGAACTAAAGGGAACACGGGGCTAACGGGGCTAACGAGGCTACAGGCTACAGGCTACATGCTACATGCTAACAGCTCCAGGCTCCGGGTCCAGACTCACCTTCTCCTCCACGCAGTGCACTATGATGGACGGGTACTTTCGGCTGAGCCATCGGAAAAACGCCGGGACTCCCATGTCGGTGCTCGGGTCCCGCTCTGCGCCGCGCGGGGAGAAAAAGCTCCGAGAGAAACGTGGAGGTAAAAACACGCGTGACCGGAGGCAGGGAGGCAGGAGGGAGGGAGGACTGTGAGCGGGGGGAGGAGGGTCTGTACGCGGGGAAAACAGCGCTCCGGGTCCGCTCTGAGCTCCGGGTCCGCCACACGCCGCGGGTCACTTATAGAGCCGGGTCAGAGCGCGCTGTTTCCGGGGAGAGAAGCGGCGAGGCCCGGGCCACAGCGACACTACAGGACGAACATTTAAACATAATGAACATCATGATTTTATTCAGTGTTGGGAAGGTGACTTTTAAAATATATTCCCCTACAGATTACAGATTACATACACCAAAATGTAGTTTGTAACGGAATGTATTAAATTACTTTAGGTGAGTAATGTAATCTGAATACTTTGGATTACTTGATATTGTCATGTTTTTTAAAACAACATAAGAAGTTTTGTCTGTTAAAAGAAAATAAAAAGTCCAGTCTCTACAAAACCAGATTAAAAATATTATTGATAGAGAAATTATTTTTATATGAGAAATGAGAAATTTATATGAGTATTTCCACCTACTGTTAGGTCTCATACTGTTTAGACCTGGTTTAGTCCTAGTTTAGACCTGGTTTAGACCTGGTTTAGACCTGGTTTAGTTTTGGTTTAGTCCTGGTTTAGACCTGGTTTAGTCCTAGTTTAGACCTGGTTTTAGACCTGGTTTAGACCTGGTTTAGACCTGGTTTAGTCCTGGTTTAGACCTGGTTTAGTCCTGGTTTAGACCTGGTTTAGTCCTGGTTTAGACCTGGTTTTAGACCTGGTTTAGTCCTGGTTTAGACCTGGTTTAGACCTGGTTTAGTCCTGGTTTAGACCTGGTTTAGACCTGGTTTAGACCTGGTTTAGTCCTGGTTTAGCCCAAAATGTGAAAACAGGAAAATACCACTCTGTAATCCATTTATTTGAACAAAGTAACTGTAACTGAATACAGTTACTCATAATTTGTACTCTGATTACGTAACTCTGGTACATGTAATCTGTTACTCCCCAACACTGATTTTATTATTATGATTATATTAAAGATGTGACTAAAAACCAAGTCAAGTTTTCTCTTTTTTAAATATTTAGGTGAAGTTTATAATGTTACTGCCTGGTTGGACCTTGTTTATACAATTTATGACAGAATTCCATAAATAAATAAATAAATAAAAGTCCATAGAAGTCTTTTACCTTCAGTCAGCTCCTTTACAAAACAAAAATTCTAGAGAGTTTAACGTGACCAGATTTTCAAAATAAAAAACTGTGACTCTCCCAATTTGTGGTGGTTGGTAATAATAAAATAGTGAAAAAAAGTGCGTAATTCAGGACAATTGTTTTGCACTTGATGTTTTCACAATAAACATGAGTCAGTTTAGTCACATTTTCTTTGTGTTTTGTCGTTTTTAAGCATTTTACTGAAACAAATGTCCGTTTTTGTTTCTCTTTACTGTTGCAGGATCAGACTGGTCCAAAATAGAGACACTGGGACATTTCTTGTATAAAACTGGGTGGTTTAGTGTAAATCTGCTGGGACAGGGGACACAGGGGAAACAGGGACGTCTGGACAAACTAAGAGAACTACAAACTTTATTGTTCACAGGAAACTGAGCGTTTATAACAGCGGAACAGGTGAGATCTATAAAACATAAACATTTACATTTACGGTGGTCGTTGATTCAGTTGGACTTGTTCAGCAGTGAGTATGATTCATAAACGTGTTGTGAGCTCGTGAGGGGGAGGACAGCTGCTGGTCTATGGT